GCTGCTGTGCCGAATTGTAGGTTCTCTTGCTAGGATCGTTTCGCGTCTTTTGTAACTTGTACATCATCATTGTCTCATCTATGATCTCTACATCTCTATCAAAGTGTCCGTTCGATAGTTCGTGAACATCGTCCCTGGAGAAGCGAACTCTCACCTAGAGATATGCGCTTTCAGGAAGTCTATGGCTTGATCGAACAACCCTTCGGCACCTCCGAACTCCTGCTCTGCGTCGGGCTCGTAATCGAAGGAGTGTTCCTTGCCCTCGACGATCTTAAGCTCCGCATGGACACCGGCGTCCCGCAGGCGCCTGTGCATGTTCTTGGACTCCCGGACCCACACCGCAGAGTCAGCAGAGCCGTGAAGGAGGAGCGTGGGAGGGAAAGAGGAGACGTCAGCGAATTGGGGAAAGAGAGGCAGATGCTCTGGTGGGATCGCGCCACGGTGTCTATCGGCACCGGTGTCGAAGGAGTCGGGGTCTTCTGCGAGTAGTCCATGCTGCGAGAGTAGTTCGCGTAGGGTAGCACTCAAGCTGGGGGCATGCAAGCCGGTGAGATAGTCTAGGTAGGTGCCAGTCTGCAGGTAGAGTCGACCGAGGAGCATTCTAGGGTTAGCAGGAAAGTTGGGTATGTGATGTGTAGGTGGATGATAAGCCAGAGGAGAATCGTTGACGACGGGGGACTTGAGACACGCAGGATAGAGAAACTCGGCGAAGTCTTCAGGGTCCAGGATCTCGCGTCCGCGGAGGAAGGGAGAGGTCTTGTGGGCAAGGTATATCCACGTCTTGATGATAATAAATATGTGATGGTTGAGATAAAGGGATGGGAGACTCACCAACATGTCACCACCCATCCCGTAGAGGGACAGGGCTACCTTCGGCTTCGGGGACGCGCACGAGGCTGCGTAGTACACGCACATGCCGCCCGCACTGCTCCCCGCGACTGCCAGCGCACTTGGGTCTATCTCGAAGGAAGGATTCCCTTCAATCTCGCACGCCTCACGGATCCTGTGGTTCGCCTCTACCTCCAGGAAAGAGAACAGATCCTTGACATCGTGCAGGATTTTGTGACCAGTAGCGGGTGTTAACAAGGTGTAATCTGCCGATATGAACGCCATTCCGGATGACGTTACACGTCCTGGGTTAAGTTCAGAGTATGCCCATAAACCGACCTCGAGAGGCGGGAGCGACTCGACAGTCTGAAGACGCACTGTGCAGCCAGCTGGGAAACCAGCTCCGTCTGTTGCCGACTGTGAGGGATCCTCCATGGAAGTAGACCACCGCTGGAGTCGCCGAGGAACCGATGCCCGCAGGAGTTGTGGAAGGCGGATAGATGTCGACGTGAACGGGCTGATTGCTGACGTCGCATTTGTAGACGAACGTCAAGCAACTCGGAGGGGTCTGCATCCTGCACGTCTATAGGAGTTAACGAGACCAGCAAAGTAGATGAAGTGTGGAGGCCGTCTATAGAGTGAGACGAAGGCTCAGCCGTACAAAGCGCAGAGATATATGGTGGTTGGTGGAGGAGGCAGGAGGACCAGCGGCTCCTCGGCGCGCGGCTCACGCGCACGACGCGACGCGACGCGCCTCAGCCACCAACCACGATCAACTCTAGGACCCTGCTATCCTCCTTGAGGTGCAATGGCAGCCAATCTACTCGTGAAGCAGGTCCAAAGCAAATGGAACAACTCCTTCGCTCGTCTGAACAGAGGAGAGCCGGGGATCACTGGGCTGCTTGCGTTCAGCGAGGTCCGCCACTCCTGTTCGTCCAGTCCGAACCGTACTCATATCCTGTCGGTCACTGATTTGCATAGGCATGGAGAATTGCGACGGGCTTCCTATACCCGAGAGACCTGAATGATCCTACTCCCCCTAAGGAATACAGTGCGTTCACCGATTCCGTGCGGGCGGCATACCGAGTGCTGAGGTTTCCAAGGCATGCAGGATGTGCGGGCATCCTTTGAGTTCCTCAGCAAGGCGAAGATGCTACCTCTCTTGATGGAGAACTTCCTTGGTGGGTGGTAGTTCCCAGTGCTGCAAGGTTGGCACTTCTTACTCTTACCTCCCAGAGGACATGAGGAAGCAACAACACCTCATCGAGCGCGATATAAACAAGTATATGGCTGAGTACGAGGTGCGTCGACATTGAAGTTGTGGAGCTGCCGCTGATAGCTAGGAACGCAGGCGGCGGATACTCCTACTCCAGATCCCATCGCAAGACTACTGTTCAGGCTTGTGGAATGGTACAGGGCATGGTCGCCGATCCCAGAGTAAGCCCAGCCAGATGTACTGTCAGACCGCGTCTCATCTTTTTCGCAGGTTAGGGTCCATACTCCTCTCTGCATACACGCTAGCCTTCCAGACCCACCTCTACTCTTCCTTCCCGCCGTCCTTCTCGCGCGGCTTCAAGCAACTCATGGCATCCACGTTCTCATTGGTGAACGCATCTTGCCCGCCGCCGTGGGCGCTGCCTCCGGAACCTCAACCATCGACCTCCACAGCCCCTTCCCGCCCCGACTTGCCCTTGTGGTCCGCATGCGAGGCACTTGGGCTGCTGGACCGCTACGAGTCGCTTATTGCCAGCGTCTGCTACGAGTACATCGAAGCTCATGTCATGGAGACATGCGCGAAGAAGTGGAACGAGTCGATGTTGGCGTACTTGAGGGAATGGATGGCCGAGAAGGTCGTACCATGGATGGTAATGCCATATGCGAGAGGGGCACGGAGTGGTGAGCGATATTCGCTAATATTGTCGTTGCCAGCGTGCAAAATGTATGATGCCCTCCACCTATACAGCGGAAGAAGCGCGCCAGATGCTGCAGGGCGTTGGTTCAAGGTTCGATTACCACGTGTGCAAGACACTATGCGACCTTCGGTAGGTCGTCGCACTTGCTCGAACTTGGATGTCGGCATTCCCTCACACTATCGCCCCAGATTGCAAGAGCTGTTCGACATTATTGTCGACCACCCCGACTCCCTACCAGCACTGGAAGACCTGAAGGTAGGATCCGAAATGCTGGATACGCGGAGCTTCGCTGACATTCTCTGTAGGAATGTCTCAGCCGAGTGGACCAGCGCGACGAACTGGTGAAAAGCTTACGCAAAGCGTATGTACCCTCTTGGATGCTCGGGGTGGGTGTTTCTGATGAGCCGTGCAGTAATAGGAAGCGACTCTTGCACCCCGGCGCAGACACGAAGGTCATCATCGAGCAATACGTGAACACGATGCACTGTCTGCGGTTCCTAGATCCACCGGGCGTGCTGCTGTATAAAGTGGCGGATCCGATCCGCAGATATCTCAGGTAAGCTCACCATCAGTTCCCATCAGGGCATGCGGTTATCATGTCGCGCAGAGAACGTCCCGACACCATTCGGTCCATCGTGGCCAACCTCGTCGGAGATGGCGAGAGCGGGGAGGCACTCGGGAACGAGAACGAGCCCATACAGCCGCTGCAACAGAAACAAGCGGACGACTTTAACGATCCCAATTGGGAACCTGAGCCGATCGACGCGGGACCAGGTGCGTCGCCCCGGAACGCGTATCGCAATGTACGACTTATGCTTGGTTTTTGCAGATTTCCGGGCGAACAAGCCTACCGACGTCATCAGCACGCTGGTCAGTATCTACGACTCCAAGGATCTCTTCGTCAAGGAGCTGCAAGTGTTGCTCGCTCAACGACTGCTCGCTGTCACGGACGGCAACTACGAGAAGGAGGTGCGTGATCATGAAGGGAGAGAAGTGTCGCGGTCTTTGACCGTTGGGCTGCAGCGCCGTAACATCGAGATTCTGAAAATCCGGTTCGGAGAGGCCGCATTGCAAGTGTGCGAGGTCATGTTGCGGGATATGACCGACTCAAGGCGGATCGACCAGCACATCCAAGCACTAAAGCCGGTAGGATTCCGTTGTTGGTCGTAGCCAGGACGTATTCTCACCACTGCGATAGATGCCTCTTCATCCTACTATCGTGTCGCGGCACTTCTGGCCACCGCTGCAGACCAGCATGTTCAACATGCCCGGACAATTCAAAGAGTGCGTATCGTGCGGTCCTTGTCATATCACGATACTCACTGAGGTATGTATAGGATCCAAGACGCGTACGCGAAGGAATTCCATCTATTCAAGCCGGACAAGAAGCTACACTGGCTTCCCCATCTCGGAACGATCAGCTTGGACATCGAGCTGCAGGACCGCACCGTTTCCGCGGAGGTGCCACCAGTAGAAGCCGCTGTCATCGAACACTTCTCGACCAAAGGTGCGTATCCGTTGTGCTTCCTTCGCTCGGTTATTCGGTTTGCTCATCACTGCGGTAGATACGTGGGACGTTGCGGATCTCGCAACGGAGATGAAGGTTGAGAGGGCTGCCGCTCTGAAAGCGGTTTTGACGTGGGTCGACCTCGGCGTGCTCAAGGAGGAAGACGCAGGCGTGTACAAGCTTCTCGTGGTGGCAGAGGAGGCTTCCTCGAGCTCTAAACCCGTCGCCAGGCCAGGTATGTCCGTGAAGCCATCGCCGTTCGAGATCATTCTGATTTGATGTTCCTTGTTATCAGCCGTCATGGAGGACATGCCCTCGGTTATCACTGTCCAGCAGCAGCAGGCAGAGCAGATGAAGGTGTACTGGAAGGTACGTCCTCGTGCAAGGCTTGCATGTTCGAATGACGGACTGACCGATGGATTCGCGAACCCGTGTTCAGTTCATCGAGGGCATGCTCACCAACCTCGGGTCACTCAGTCTAGCAAGGATCCAGAACTATGCTGAAGTTCGCTCCTGGTTACGACAGGACGATCGATCAATTGGCCGAGTTCATGGAGGCGGCACGACGAGAAGGACATGTGACAGTCAAGGATGGGATGTGGAAGCTCCAGCGGTGATATCCAGTAAACCCGCTTGTTGTGTATGCACTCGTACTTGGGCTTTTACCACTGCCCTGATATGCGGACTGAGACGTCTTGCCACTGGGAGGAAAAACGAACAAAGGGTCCACAAAAGAAGCATCTATGCCAATATGCCTCCTGGCTGGATTGAACAACCGACCTCACCATTGACCGAGAAGCGGTACGAGTGGCGCGCTCTACCACTGAGCTAAGAAGGCTTAGACACTGTTCTGTAGCTAGCCACATCATACGTGCTACTGTGCTCTCTTCCAAATCTTTTTTTTTTTTTTTTTGGTGGGGCGCATAGAGTCCTGAGCCGCATTGATCCCCATAGGGGCTTGTCGTGCAGCTCGTAGCTGAAGAGTATCAGCCAGACGCGCTAACCGGCATGTCCGTGGCCGTTGGCCTCGGACATGTCGGCATGGTTAGTATTATCCACCGCGAGGAAATGCATTTATGCACTGAGTGTGGGACTCGAAACGCAAGAGGTGAGGAGGCATGGCGGATGGCCGCCATGCCTCCTCACCTCCCGCGTTTAATACCCACTAAAACCCCGCTATTGGTAACCCAGTTCGGAGGTAAGTCTTGACCGTTCTCTAGAATAGGGAGCCAAATGCGCTCAACCTTTTGCGATGTTAGGGCCTTCCTACCTCTAGCGATCGCAGCCGTCCGTCTATCAAGGTCCAGTCTCGAGTCTAGAGTTGAGTAGAACCTGTTCACCACCTCGTTTTCCGTGAAATCCCTACCTTCATTCTGAATGACCCGCTCGCACCGCAGCTTCCAGACAAGATGTAGTGCCTCCGTGCAGAGGATACACCATAGGTTCTCAATCGCCGCCAACCTGTTACCTTCCTCCGACCTGAGGGCCACGCAGGCCGCCCCCAGAGTTGTGCCCCAGCAAGGTTCGTACCACCTCGCGCTCGTCAGATCCCACGTCCGTTTCAGCAGCCTCCATATGATCTCCTGGCCCCTCGCCGTACATTCGAAGAGGATATGCGACATGGTTTCGCATTCACTGCAGATCGCACAGATCGCGCGTGCATGTAGTTCGGCCGACATCTTCGGCCTGAGCCAGTGGGTCCCGATCATGTAGCCGTCGTGTATCGCCATCCACATGAATTGCGATGCGGATTGCGATACATGTCGGCTTCTGAGAGATTGCCATATTGATTCGTCATGTGCATGTACATTGCAGACCTCTCGAAGGCCGCTCGAGATCCTGTCGAGGTTGGCAGTAGCGCGGGGCCTGGGTTTCGTCAGTAGATCCTTTCGTGCACGTATGGCACGATACGCAAGCTTTTGGGTCATCGACTGTAGTTTCGCACCCGTTATCTTGAAGGGCGGCGGTATCTCGAGGTTCAGCTGGTCGCCTGTCGGCTTCTCCGCTCCCGCAGCTGCTAGCCTATCTGCCGCTTCATTCCGGGGGTGCCCGCTGTGGCCCTTAACCCACTTGAAGATCGTGTGGGCCCGTCGCGTGCGCAATTTGGCGATTGCAGTCCTCGTCAGCTCCCCATTCTTCTGGCCGATATACCCAGAGTCTTCATGTCGTTGTCTCCACCTTGTAAGAGAGTCCATAGTTGTTCGGGAGTCAGTCTCCTGAATGACTCGGGTTCGTGCGTTTGCCTCAGAGGCCGCCAGCATCGTTGCGACGATCTCGCCAGTCTGATTTGTTTGTTCAAGGTCACCTGGGAGGCGGTAGCTCGCGTTCAGCTCGTGGGCCTCTTCCACAAAAATTCCAGCTCCTGCCTGAGCGTTTTTCCCCCCGTTATTGACACACGACCCGTCCGTGGCAATTGTCAGTTTTTCGCCGTCTTCTTCCAGTTCATTTTCCAGGAGGTCGTTGTGGGTGGGCTCGCCGTCAGTGAAAATCCGCAGTGCGTGCCCCGGATTTCCATGCGTTGTGACCGTCATGTCAAAAGGGATAAGATCGTCACTTGGCAGGGCGTGACGTAGCTCCTCCATTGTGCGCAGTTCGTGGTCTTCCGGATGTCGCCTCCGGGGATCCCATTTGCCCGGGAGTGTATCGAGTATATCCCTAGCTCGTTTGTAGCATAAGTGCGGGTTCGAGCAGTGATGGTTCGCTCGGGACTGTGCACACGTCCTGCATTTGCATGACATATGTGGGCGGTGCGTAGCCTCGTCAAGTGTCCGTGCGAGCTTCACGAAGTCCTCTACAGTCCTTGCCATGTGTGCTTGCTGAAGACATGTGATTAGTCTAGATGGGACGGACAGTCGTCCTAGTCTAATGCGATCGGCGTGGGCGTGATCCCACATGGGCATCGCATACAGGATTGCCCTTGAGAAGGCGAGACCTTCCAGTCGTACTCCATATTTCTTCCCAACATCCATCATGCTTTTTAGTTCGTCCGGCAGACCCCTCGCCTTGGGTTTCCACCGCTGGAGGAAGGGGTTCAGGCGCAGTTCTGGCAGCCTCGGTCTGCAATCTTTGGGGACGTGAGCTGCCAGCAAATCGTCAGCCAAGAAAGCCCAGAGAGGACGGTCCTCGCCTTGATCGAGGTATGTCTTGAGCCACATGATGTCGATCGCTTCGTTTCTGGCATCAAGGTCAAGCACCCCCAGCCCACCCTTTCCCACTGGGAGATAGACATGTTTTCTTCCGACCGGCGTGTTGTGTCGGTTGTCCCATAAGTACCCTCGTACTAACTTGTTAAGTCTCTTGACAATGACTTCCGGCATTCGTTGCACAGTGGTGAGAAACTGCGTCATGCCGCCTATCAACATCTGCACTACGTGTTTCTTTCCTTGGAGGGTTGCATGGCCTTTCGACCAACGTGCCATTACCTCCATAAGCGGCTTTCTCATTGCCACAATCTTCGTCAGCACCAGTGTCCATACATTAACGTTGTCAATATTGTTTCCAAAGAAAGCCCCAAGAATACGGACAGCCTCGCCGTCCTGAGCAACATGGACATCCCGCGGGTAGTTTCCCCATCCTCCTGTGACACGATACGTCTCAGCCATTTCCTGACGGAAAGCAGGACTTCCGATCGGCATAATTTCAGTCTTCCTTATATTGAAGCGTGCCTTTGCCGCCGAGCACCAGGTGTCCAGGACTTTCTGTAGTGTCGCGAAATTGTCCTGCCTTGACAGGTATACCGTGGTATCGTCAGCGAAAAGCACGGCTTTTAGGACTTCGTTGCACCTCGGAATGCTAAAACCTTTAATGTCGGACTTCCGAATCATTGCAGATAGAGGCTCAATGGCCAGGTCGAAGAGGAGACAGGACAGTGGATCCCCTTGCCTGACCCCTCTGTAGATTCGGTAGGCTCTGCTGAGTATCCCATTAATCATTATTGATGTCTCCGCATGCGTGTACAGGGATCGGACGATCTGTATGAACGTGTCAGGGATGGCAAGCTTTTCAAGCACCCTCCACAGATAGTCGTGCGCGATCTTATCGTACGCTTTTTCTTGGTCCAAGGCAATAATCGCGCCGTCCTGGTCATTTGCTTCTGCCCAGTTCATCATCATACGGGCCAGCTGTGTGTGATTATGAATCTTCCTCCCAGGCACAAATCCTGCCTGCGCCTTGTGAATCAGGCCTGGCACAACATCTGCAAGTCGCACAGCCAGTGCTTTGCTGAGCAGCTTATAGTCCGTATTAAGGAGAGTAATTGGCCGATAGTTGACAACCTTTGACCTCTCTCCTTTCTCCTTATAGATCGGCGCAATCCATCCTTTTGCGAAGGAAGTGGTCGGGTCTACTCCGTGTAGCCTGATGTCCTCGAAAGCAGCTCGCAGAAGTCTGACAATATCGAAGGCCTCTCGACCCAGGTGATGAGTATCGTCAATATGTCGAGCGTGCAGAGTCTTCCAGAACTCGAAAGGGACACCATCTAGGCCCGGTGAAGATCCGTTTTTTGAGAAACGCAAAGAGAGTAGGACTTCGTCGTAAGTGATTTCGCTTTCCAGCTGTTCCGCCTCATCCGCAGTGACTTTAGCGTCCAGGCTTGTAAGTGCTGTCGTCACATCCGTTTCTCGTTCGCACTCTGGTTTCGCGTCTGGGTCGTCCCGTTGAACATTTATGTGGTGTGTTCTGGCCATTTCCGCCATCCTCACTGAATCAGTCTCATACGTTTTTCCTCCTGGAGTTCCTAGGTCATCCTCTTTCTCAAAGGCGGTGATGATGTCACGCGGTGCACACTCCCGGTGTAATCTGGACCAGTACTTCGTAGGGCGTTCACCGTAGAGCCGGTGTGTCGCCCTCGCATGTTGCTGCTGTTGCTTGTAGCGCCGCTGCTTAAGATGGCGGAGTTGTTTGGTGAGTGCTTCCGCTTCTGCCATCCTGGCCTGTTCGGAAATGGTCTGATTCCTGTTAATGTTTTTGAGAGCTTGTTCGCGCATCCGTATCTCAGCCAGCAGACCCGGTACGATAGCCCGCTCGCGTTCTCGTGCCAGATGCATTGCAGCCTCCTTGAAGCTATGCAGAATCCTCTGCGGGTTCTCGTCTTCCGTTCGGGAGCCTGTAGCCTCGAGAGTGGCTAGTGCGTGTATAGCGTCCAGGCCTTTCTGCTTGATGTCTTTAGTTAACTTCTTGTCCTTGATGAGGTGAAGTGGGAAGACCGGTCTCCCCTTGCCCACGACGGGTGCGTTTTCCGGGGTCAGTTGGACCGATATGAGGCTATGGTCCGATCTTACGCCTGCCTCGTTTATTCGCCACTCCCGTGCATTATCGAAAAGTTTGGGGGTGACGTAGATCCTGTCGAGTCTGGAGAAAACGGCCTCACGACCGGTTCCTCGGTGGAAGGTGTATTCCCGGGCATTCGGGTTGGTCAAACGCCAGCCGTCGGCGAGCATCAGTCCTAGGCTCACTTTCAGCTCGTCCAGTGCATGTATTGACCTATCCGGTCCATCACTAATAGGGAGCCGGTCGATACTATCCTCAATATTGTTGAAATCTCCAGCCATTAGCTGGGGCTTAGGGCACTGTGGGTGCTCTTCATAGTATTTGCGTATCTGCTCGTAGAAACGCTGTCGTTCTGCCACCCCATGCGAGGTGGGCGCATAGACACAGAGCAGGACCTTCTTATCGCCTCCCTGACACGGTACCGTTACTTGTATCGCCTTACCGGGGACAATTTCAGTCGCTTCCGCATCGGCTGTCTTGATATACCTGGCATTTAGCACCACCGCTACGCCGTCTCGCTGAGTAGGTGCGTCTGGATTCATCGAGAAAAGGACTCGGATTCGCTTTGCG